CCCCAAAACCCCAAAACCCCAAAACCCCAAAACCCCTTGACATGTTACAGTTATTGAAAATGAATAAAATCGATAGGGATGTCTGACAACATTTTCTCATGAGAGAGTCCATGTAAATCTTCATATCTGAGTTACTGGGAATCTTCAGCATTTTGAAAGACATTATCAAGCCTCTTCATACAATTTTGGAGTATCAGAAACCTCCTGACTGATTTCTTGGATTTCAGTCATCAAGAAGTTAGGTGTTGTACTCTTAATATTTATTTGCCTACTCTGTGATATTATATACCTTTTAAATTTACTACTAATATTTTATTCAAACTAATTCTCCATTTTTAGGCTCAGAATGATGCTGTTTGCAGCACTCTTGTGTTCAGGTAAGATTATCTGGTGAAACTACTTCCTCTCAGGTAACATCAGACTACTTTCGGAAAACAGTTTTTATATAAAATCATCAATACCTGCTATTTTTCATGTTATAGTTTTTATAATACCCACGCTCAGGCACATAATCTTGGTCAAACCTATCTCTAAAATTGCCAGAATATGTTATTTTTTACTCTGAAACTTTCTACATGCGTATTTTTCATTTCCAAATGTCTTTTTCATGTGACATCCCTCTATGACCATGAAACAGCCGATTCTTAAAACCTAAGCCCAATTCTTATATTTACAAATATTTTCTGTAAGTCCTAGCTTATCGGTAAGCCATACATGATGCTGAATCCTCATCTCGGGCATCACCGAATGGGTCTCCTTCATATTCTTAGTAAATTATTTTGTCAAATAATGAAGCTTTGGGTAGCACTAGCATTTGATGCTTCTCAGAGCACCATCTCAGGAGTCGCTTCAGGAGATAGTCTGGTTATTAATCAGACTTATACTGTCACAGTCCAGGCCAAAGATTTATTTGGGAATAACCTGGCAACAGGAGGAGAGGATACCTATATTACAGATCCATGCGCTCGGGGTCCGAATATGTCCTGAGTTGCCTCTGCTTTCACTCAAAGTGCAGTAAATGGCATAGAGAACGTTATCAAGCTAACATATGATGGAGGTGGATCATACTCAGACTGTTTTGCCTTGAACCACCTTGGAGATGCAACCATCTCTATCATTCGATCAAGGACTTTAGGTGTTGTTGGAAACTACTACGATTGAGGGAGTATTTCAGGAGTTCCAGATGTAACCAGCACATCAACGTAAGTTTTACCAACATGCTAAACTTCTTTGAAACTGTTGGCTCAATGTCAACAGAGATCATAATTTCAGCTTAGGCCATATTAGAAATAGGCTATCTTTTCTATAAACTCTGATCTTTGAAATTAAAATTTAGATTTGCTAGAAAACCTCTAATTCTGATTAGCTAGACCAAATTTTAATTTTGATTCCCTAGAAAATTGTTCACCTTCATATTTAGAGACATCAACTTTAGTTGGGAAGTGGACAAAGATCACTCCAACTAGTCACAATAATGTAGTAGACCAGTTCACAAGCAAGCTGACTTCTTTTCAGACTGGGACTTGCTGCATGTCGGCCTTTCAAGACGATGGATCAGATGTGTAAGTCTTAAGTAAAAACTTCTCTAGGAAAATTAATGGAGTGTTATTTATCAACAATTATGGAAATGTTATGGCCTTCACAACTAGTTTCAACTACACCTTCAATGCATTTGAGACTTATGATCTCGAGATTGATTGGAAAGACATAAATTATGGAGGAGCTATCAAGCTTTATTGGGATTGAGGAGGTGGCAAAATTCTCATACCTTCAGAAAGTTATGCATCTGCTGAAGATATAGGAACTAGTCCTTTGCAAGTTTCTGCAGCTTGTCTTGATAAATATGAGCAGACTCCTTCAACCACTGACCAATGCAGGCCTAAGTGTGGGGATGGATATGTCATCAGTCCTGAAGTCTGTGATGATAACAACACTGTCAGTGGAGATAGATGCAGCTTTGATTGTACTGCAATTGAATTGAGTTGGTATTGATTAGGAGGCTCATCAACATCCAAAAGTGTCTGAGCAGAGTGTAGCAACTGGTTCTATCTAAATGATCCTTCTAGTCCAAGTGAATGCACTACAAAATGAAGTGATGGATACAGAGTAGGCTCGGAAGTTTGTGATGACGGTGACATTGTTGATGAAGATGGCTGATCGTCAGATTGTAGCGAAACTGAAGTTGGTTGGAAATGCGATACTTCAGTTCCAAATATATGCACTCGAGATTATAAATCCGTTCCACTAACTTCAAATGAGAGATCATTACAGATAGGAACTTTAGTGACCATTCCTATTCTAATATTCTTGAACATCATCAGAGGATCTTTTAATAATTTATCAATAAACTCTGTATTGTCTTCGGTCGATCAGCTTCAGTTGTTGATCCTATTCTTGCTGTGTGAAACCTTCATCCTACTCAGAGTGGTGACTTATCTCAGAACACTCACAACATCTTTGATAGATATAGACATTGACTGGAGCTTCATCATTGTCTTCAGGAAGATTACCGAGTGGTTCGACTTTGCTCAGCCCAGAGATGATTTCGACAACATTGAGATCAATTCGGGGAGCGCACTCATCAACCTGAACACTCTGGTCTGCATGTTCATCATTTATGTCATCATCCACTTCATATTGTGGGTATCCAAGAAGTGAGTTGGCAAGTCTAAATAAACTCTGAGCTCGATTCATCAAGAAAGCTTACAGAAGTTTCACATTCGAAATGTATGTGGTCTTGATCTTTGAAGGATTCATCAACCTGTGTTTGTGCTCGTTCTCGGAGCTAGAACGGTACAAAATCAACAAAACTGGGGCTAAGCGGGGTTCATTCTACTTCGCTGTGTTCTTTGCCTTGATATGTACCATTGTTGTTTTAACAGTTTTGGTATTATGGCTTTTTATAAAACCGGAAAAATCAAACAGAAGGGGATTCCTTCAGAGAGATCTTTATGATGGGATCAAGCTCAATAGATGAGCCAGATTGCAGCCCTTAATGTTCCTTGCCAGGAAGAGCAGCTCTTTGATCAATGATAGTCTGTAAGTTTATTATTTATGCTTTAGTTATGAGATCGCTTGATAAGTTTCTGTTCATGAGTCTCTATTCCTTCATTAACTTAATCTACTGGATAATGATGTGATACATCAGACCATTAGAGAAAGTTTCTGAGAATATCACTGAAATAGCAAACGGAATGTTTATGACTACTTTGTGTCTGTTCTTGCAGTTCTGTCGTTCAGAGAATGATTGGGGTACCACCAAGACAACTATTTTCTACTAGATGTTGGTCCTGAGCAACATCTTGTATGTAGCATTCTCAGTAGGTAAGCACTTTGTTGCTAGTTTTTTTTATTTACACTCTCTGCACTTACAAGAAGATTCAAATGAAAGGATTAGAGAATAGGATCCAGAGAATTTCCCCGAAGATCCTGAAAACATGTAACAGTGTATTTTTGCCCTGTAGTCCCAGATATTTACGCAAGTTAAGACAGAACATTGGCTTACGTAATTTGAAGGGCAGGAATATTTCTGCCCCTGCATGAGGTTTAAACTCATGTGTCTCTAATCCAAATAATGTAAACTTGAATAGAGACTCAAATATGTTTTAAAACTAGATTTTTGCGCTGACCTGAGTTAATTACTAAGCTACAGAGAGGGTACCAAACCCTTCAGTATGGGTCCATCATGTCCAATAATAACCCATGAGTCCAGCTTTGATGCTCGTAGTGATTACAACTATGAAGCTAGGCTAGACCATTGATATGATTAATTTTATTAGATAAGATATTCAGTCTGAATTATATTCTATGGGGTTTTGGGGTTTTGGGGTTTTGGGG